AGACTGGGTTACTCAGGGGTCTGAATCAGGAGATCCTTTCCCATGGGGAAGAGGAGAGAGAGTGATGAATTTAAGAGACTGAAGGAAAGAACTGGACTCTGGTCCAGTTAGGAAGTTGGAAAGTGAAAGACAACCATGGAAGCCTAATATTTAGAGGTGTGGTTTGAGGAAGTGTACCTAGATGACTATGAATTTTAGTATCCCAAGGAAAATGAGACTTTACACCCATGTTTCTCCACCCCTGCCCACCCCCACTTCCCTTACACCAATTTCTGCCTCTGATCTAGACATGCAGAGATGCCTTGGAACAGTCTCTGCTGTGATAGAAGGTCACTAGTAATACTAAGAACAGAAGGTTCTTTAAGTGGCCTCTCTCCTCAGTATAAGGGAACACATAGCTCTTCCCTAAGGCTTGAGCCAAAACTGGTGCTTTTCTGGATTTTTTTTTTTTTTTGGCCTTATTTCTTCTCTTTCAAGAAGAACCAGGTTGGTAGATAGCCACACTCTGTCTATCCCTTGTCCTCATCAATCCCTGATGTATATATTCACCACTCTCTTCCTCTCATCCCTGTCTGTTTTCTCTCTTATTCTAATGTGGAAAATAATATGGCCCTAGAATGTGAAGCCAAGAGGACCCTAATTTAACATAGTGAGGGATGATCTGGATAACAAGGAGCATGTTTATAGCAAAGAGAGTTGTATATGTCCTGGGCTGTTGCTATTAAGGGCCTTTGCCCTGCTAAGCTCTGTGTTGTAAATGGCAGAAGACTTCTTCAGTTTTATTGCAGACTCTTGGATCAGGCCCTGTGATACTTCCACATGACTACTCTTTCCATTTATTTTCCTAAAATTTTCACCCCACCAAGTTATGCCCCCACACCAACCACCAAAATTATGCTTTGCACCTCCCCCCTTCACTAGTGCCCCAACCACACCAACATGCCTCTTGAGATTCTGTCAGGAGGTAGAAATTCAGTGTTCCTGCCGGAGACATCACATACTCTCAAGGATGAGTCCTGGGTGTTAGGAAGGATGGAAATGGTGACAGCCTAATATGGTTAGCAGCAAGTACCATGACATTTGAGTCAGAACTGATGGATGCAGGGCTAAGTGGGTTAAGTGTCTGCCTTCGGCTCTAGGCTCTCATGATCCTGGGGTCCTCGGATGGAGCCCCATATCTGTCAGGCTCCCTGCTCAGCGGAGAGTCTGCTTCTCCCTCTCCTCTGCCCCATCGCTCCCCCCCTCGTGCTCACTCTCTCTCAAATAATTAAAATAAAATAAAATAACTGATGAATGGGACTGGAGAATCTCCCAGGCTTTCTGTCCTTCACCTGTCTGGAGTCTGGAGTCTGCTGCAGCATCACTGGGCGCTTCCCATGGAGCAAACAGGAGCAGAGACAGGAGGGCGGCTGCCTAGCTGGCAATTAGCCAGCCACTGCCACTCCCCAGCTTCCCAACCACTTGAAAGGCTAAGGGAAAAGAGCTCATCCAGAGCTGAAGGAGGCCTAGAGGCCTGACTTAGAGTTCATCAGTCTTTCTCCCTCCCTCTGACTGCCAGTGGAGCTAAGTAAAAGCTGAAATTGTAGCCACCCACTCTGTGGGTTGCACACTCCCACTCTCGTCACTGACCCCAGGCCTGGGTCTGAGCCCAGTGCGTGTGCCGGGAGCAGGGGTGGGGGGGTGTTGGCCATGCTGACAAAATCCATTTGGAATTTCTCAAGGTTGTGGTTTGGGGCTTGAGTTTGCCACAGAGTGTGCCTGACAAAAGAGAAAGCTAGAAAGAGAGGGAGCCAAAGAGAATACAGAGGAAGGAAACAGGAAAAAGCCGAAATATTCTTGCTGTAATACCATTGGAGATTCTCCTCTCTCTGTCTAAGTGTGAGAAATTCCCATTCTGGATGTTCCTTATCATTATTTTCTCTCCTATCCTATGCCCATTCTAGCTGCATCCCCTCTCTGCCTGACACCCCCATACACACCAGGCTCAATCAGTGACTAAAGTAAGGATGAGATGTCTTCCTGCTTCCATCAAGTTTCCCAAGCCCAGGATTCTCAAGTGGGAAATCAGGACATAAAATTTTGTCATAAAGTACTAGCCTAACCCAACATTCCTCAAAATGCCCTTGCTACCTGAGTAGCAAAATCACCTAATTTTGAGGGTAATTTGGGTAGCAGATATATCTATTGCCTAGAGAAATAGAGAAAACCATTTCTACATTCCCTGGCCAATGAGATGACCTGTTAGAGGCAGCATCTTGCAACCCCACAAACATTTAGTCACTTGTAAAGTTCTGAATGTGTGATGTCTATCCCTTTTCTGAACTGAATGATAATGGTTTGTTTTCAAAGATACTGAGTTAGGAAAAGACAGATTGTTACTGTAAAAAATCTGTTTTCTCTAGTTTTGGTTATGTTCTAAAAGATAAAGGAATTATTTTACTAAGATTAAATGCAGAAGAGTTCTGAATAAGGAAGAACACAATACACATGCAAATAATTCAATAGGAAAGCATGCTGGTTTTGCTGGTTTCCAGAGCAAACACTCCCTTTTCAAGCACTGGAATCTCTTTTATATGTTTCCCATTAGTCTTATATCTACCTCCCAAGTTCTCTGACTTGGAGCCATAAAGAAAAGCACCTGCACTTTTGGGTCCAAACTTAATGTTGAGATACGTTCAGGACTTGAAATCTCTGGAACAGAGGTAACCATGGTATAGGGCAGGGGTTAACCAAGTACAGCCAGAGAGCCTAATCTCATCTGCAGTCCCATTTTTGTGAATTAAGCCTTATTGGACACAGCCATACCCATTTGTTTATGTGTGGTCTATGGCTACTTTTGATTCACAACAACAGAGTTGAGTAATTATAGCAGAGTTGAGTAGTTGCAACAAAGCCCACAAGCCTAATACAGCTGACCCTTGAACGACACAGGTTTGAACTGTGCAGGTTCACTTAATACACAGATTTTTTTTTTTTTTAGTAAATACCTACCGTACCCTACTGTAAATGTATTTTATCTTCCTTATGATTTTCTTTTTTTTATTTTTATTTTTTATTTTTTTTTATTTTTTTTTTAAAGATTTTATTTATTTATTTGAGAGAGAGAGCATGAGAGACAGAGAGCATGAGAGGGAGGAGGGTCAGAGGGAGAAGCAGACTCCCTGCCGAGCAGGGAGCCCGATGCGGGACTCGATCCCGGGACTCCAGGATCATGACCTGAGCCGAAGGCAGCCGCCCAACCAACTGAGCCACCCAGGCGCCCTGATTTTCTTTTTTTTTTAAAAAAAAAGATTTTATTTATTTATTTGACAGAGAGAGACACAGCGAGAGAGGGAACACAAGCAGGGGGAGTGGGAGAGGGAGAAGCAGGCTTCCCACAGAGCGGGGAGCCTGATGCAGGCCTCGATCCCAGGACCCTGGGATCATGACCTGAGCCGAAGGCAGACGCCCAACGACTGAGCCACCCAGGTGCCCCTTCCTTATGATTTTCTTAATAACATTTTCTTTTCTCTATTTTATTGCAAGAACACAGTATATAAAACACGTAGCATACAAAGTATGTGTTAATCTGTTAATCGACTGTTTCTATTATCGGTAAGGCTTCCAGTCAACAGTAGGTTATAAGTAATTAAGTTTTGGGGGAATCAAAAGTTATGCACAGATGTTTGACTGTGTGGGAAGGGGGTGCCCCCAAACCCCTGATGTTGTTCAAGGGTCAACTGTATACTTGCTATCAAGCCCTCTGTGGGGGGAAAAAAATGCCAACCCTTGTTCTAGGACAAGGATCAAGGTGAAGTCTGGAGTTGAAGCACATAAAAAGTAAATTTTTATGGTAGGGGCGCCTGGGTGGCTCAGTCGTTAAGTGTCTGCCTTCAGCTCAGGTCATGCTCCCAGGACTCTGGGATCAAGCCCCACATCGGGCTCTGCTCAGCGGAAAGCCTGCTTCTCCCCCTCCCACTCCCCCTGCTTGTGTTCCCTCTCTCGCTGTGTCTCTGTCACATAAATAAAATCTTAAGAAAAAAAAAAAGTAAATTGGGCCTATGTTTGGATATCTAGCCCCCCTCTACGTAGAAGTACCCCCTGGTTTTTCACATTGAAAGTTGCCAACTAAATCAGTGAGGACCATTTCAAATCCTTTGTGGGACCAGGCAGGATACACATAAATAAAGTCATTGGGTGTATGAGGGTAGAATTTACCTGGGAAAGAAGCGATGGACTGGGATCCCAAGTGTGGGCAGAAATATAACCACCTGCATCCACTGGTCCAGTAGTTTAATTTATTTTAGTTACAAACAGAAACCAAGAACAAGTCTCAGTACAATAAATTATTCATTCCCATCCCTCCTGCTAACAACAAATAAGAGGCTCAGAGAGTCTTAGGTAAAACTCTTCCTTTGGAGGGTTTCCTTTAACATCTGAATGGGGGGGGACAGTTTCCCTAAGGGCCTAGACAAACAACTCTCTGAAGACTCTAGGGAGAGCCCCCTTCCTTTCCCCAAGAAAAACCTGTCTACCACTGTCTCCTATTCCCCCACAAGAAGGAGCCCAGGCTGCTGTAGAGGAGTTAGGGAACAGCAGATAAGAACGAGTGGTCTCCCTGGATACAGGTCTTATGGCTCCACACAATGCCTGGGGCTATCCCTCAAAGGAGAGGAGTAGTCAAACTACAGGGACACCCCAGCCAGAAGGTGTAGGAACCAGAGCTAAAGGGACCCCAGGGCCGGGGACAGGGAGGCAATACAGTGCATGTCACCTTCGTTCATTTCAGGTGTTTCAAGAGCAGAAGAGGGGGTGACAGCTTTCCCTCCCAGGCCGCCCTACAGCGGGGGAAAAGGCTGCACATCGCGGACTCAGCCTGACCCCCCCAACGCCCCCAAAGCCGCTGCCAGGAGCCAAGATTGCCACTGGACAGAAATGAGAGCAAAGGGCCGAGGAGGCGCGCCCGCCCCCCACCGGCCCCACCGGCCCCGCCGGCCCCGCGGGCCAGGTGAAGCCGCCCCTCACTTACACACGTTGACCCACTCGGTGACCTTACACTCGTCACACAGCACGTAGCAGCACCAGTGGAAGCGGCAGTGACAGCGCTCCACTCGCGTCTGCCGGAGCACGTTGTGCCCACGGCCGCAGCACAAGCTACCGCAGCCGTCCAGCAGACGGCTGGTCTTGTTGCAGGCCCGGCCCCGAGTGCCGGGGGAGCCCACCGCAGGGTCTCGCTCACAGAAGTCGGGGGACTTCTCAAAGTAAACCAGCTCTCCCGAGAGGCGACGGGGACGCAGGCGGGGTTGGAAGGCTCCAGAGTTCCGGTTGTGGGTGTCGATGAAGATGGCCCGGCCCAGCCGCTCCCTCAACGCTGCCCCCACTGCCCGGAAGTCCGGGGCCGCCCTCCAGCACGTCTTGAACTGGCAGCTGCCCGATGTGCCGTGGCACTTGCATTTCCGCTTCAGGTTTTCAGTTACCACCTAGAGCATGGGGTGGGGGGGGGCAGCACAGGGGCAGAGCACAGGGGCGCAGCAGAGGGGAGGGAACAGAGAGCATGGGGAGGGAGACATAGAGGCAAGAATGACCATGGAATATCAGAAGAGAAAGGGCACTGCAGGGCTGGCTAATAGCTCAACTCCCTCATCTTCTGGTTGGAGGACTGAGGCCAGAGCAGAGTGATCTGCCCAACTTTAATCACTAGCTGGTAAGAGAGACTCCGCTTTGATAACTAGCTGCTAACAGAACTCAACTCCAGTTGTCCCGACTCGCAGTCCAGTGCTCTTTGCAGAGTGAGCACTAAAATGAGCACCGCTTCTGTAGGAAGGCAGCTGTCATACATACATACCATGTAATGAGCACCTGCCAAGGACTAGGCACTCTGCCCAGTGCCCTATTTGCCTGCTCACTCTTAATGACATCTTAAGGTAGGTATCGTTAGACTCTTTTTACAGATGCAAAACGCAGGGTAAGTGACTCACTTGAGGTCATCCAGATGGTGAGTGGCCATCCCCCACCACATCTCATCCTCTTTACTCTGCTGTGCCTCTCCAACTCCAGCCAGGCCTCAAAAGCTAAGGAGACCCGGGACAAGTTGCCCACACATACCTGTCGCCCCACCCTGTTGTTGTGGATTCGCATTCTCGCCTGGATGTCCCGGGGAGCTTCCCTGGAATCCAAGAAATCCCGAGAGAACTTCTCTCCAAAGTCCATGTCATGGTTACAGCCACCCCATTCCCATGTGTCCTGGGGGCCAGGGCTGGGGCCTGAGCCGGGGCCAGGGCTGGGCAGGGAGTGGGGGAAACTCTTGCCCCGGGACAGAGCCTGCAGCTGCAGCAGCTTGGCCCTCAGCCGGTCCTGCTCACCGCTGCCCTTCCAGCCGCAGCTGCAGCTCACTAGCCTGCCCAGGCTGCAGGCCGTGGCGACCGCGTGCATGACCCCTGCCGCCAGCATGGAGAAGGAAAAAGCACTCTCACGGAAACCTGGGGATAAAAAGGGTGTGACGGGGGATAAGGTTGACAGGCAGCTGGAGTAGGGAGGTGGGAGGAAATAAGCAGCCACCCTTCAATTCCAGGAATTCCTAACTGAATCCTGACCCTGTCATTTACCAGCTGCATAATTTGGGAGAAAGTCACGGAGAAGGAAGGGAACGGAAGCACGAAGCCTCAGTTTCCTCATTTATTAAGGGAGGAGCTGGACTGAGATGATCTCTGAGGCCCATCCTCGTTCTGTAAGTCTGGGATTTTCGGGTGCAGATGAAAGAGCTAGCTGGAGGGCAAGACCCCTGGGGTTGGCAGGTGACTGAGAGGGAGTCCCCGAGGTCTTTGAAGAAGTGATCACTGAGTTCTACATCTGAAAGCTTTAAAAATTCCCCAGCCCAGCAGGGAGCTTGGGTGGCGGGGTGGAAGCAGAGACTTTTTTGTTCTTTTTTTTTTTTTCTTTAGGGCCCTTTAACCAACCTTCCTCCACCACCCCAACACCCCCAAAGCACTGGAGCTGTGGAGCTATCCTTCCCCTTTCCAGTTTCTAGTTTTATATTTGCCCTTTAAGACTGCCCTTTATGTTTATCCTAACCTGCTATTACTCTATAAAATGCTGGGAGGGGGAGAGGGGTGGGGGGTGATTTTCCCTGAGGCCCTCTTAAAATGTTGGCTTCTTTGTTATGTTTTTGGGGTCACAAGAGGCTCAAGATGACAAGCCTTTCCCATGCCTCTCATTTGGGTATCAACACCTTTCCCTACACCCGGCCCTATAGAGAAGGAGGGGGTCCCTCACTTCCTTTTAGGTAGGGGCTCTCTTGAGCCCTGAGAGGATGAGAGACAGTGCCTCTTTAGGGGCCAAGCCTCTCCCACCCCAGGATGCAGGGCTTCTGGCCCAGCCTCCCAATCCCCCCCAACTTCAACCCTCGGGGTGAAGCTGTTTGCACAAGTCTTGGGAATTCCCCCGCAGATGGCAGCTGCCTATTAACCCCGTAGTCCCTGAAGTACTGCCCCCCCCCCCTCGAGCTGAGCCCAGAATGGATCTTTACTCCTCCAGGGAGGAAACACAGGCATGGCCTGGCAAGAGGCAACGATGACTTCCAGACCATACCTCCCAGACCAGACCAGCAGTGACCTGTTCTTCGCCCCTCCAGCCGTTCCTCACCTGCTCAGGTGAGAGCCACCTGGGGCCCCCACAGCACAGAGGAGGGGGCTGCTCCCCAGCTTCAAAGCCATCAGGGTCTTTGTTCCCAGCCTCTGCTCCTGGGAACCCCAGCAATTAGGGGAGTAGGTTTAACCCTTAAACGGTTGGGGGCGTCACCCCACCCCCGCTGAGGCTCTGGGGACACCAGCCTGGGCTTGTCCGGGGAGGGGGGGAGGATATTGGGGGAGGTAATGGGGGGGCGTTTGAAGCTTCCAGGGTTGGGGGCATCTCTTGCTCGCAGGTGCAACCCAGATCGAGCCTGGTGGAGGCAGGCAAGAGGGGCCCTAGGGTAGGATAGCAAGACTCAGCTGCTTTGCCGGCAGCACGCAGGTGGAAGTGAGGCGCAGGGGCCCAGACGGGTGGCCAGGCGCAGCTCTGTGGCTCCCCGGGGGTGGGGGGGGAATTCCCGGAGAGAGGCCCCTCCCGGAGTCGCGAACCGGTCCCTTCCCGCCTCCGCTCGCCTCGGCCTGCCCCCCAGCCCCAGCCCCAGCCCCAGCGGCGCAGACCCGCCCGGCCCGGCTCACCGCGCTTGAGGATGGCGCTGTGGTGCGGCAGACGGCCGCCGCCCTCGAGCGCCGAGCAGTTCCAGCGCTGGTCGCGCAGCTGGTGCTGACACTCGTGAACCGCGATGTGCAGGCCCTGAAGCGCGGATGCCGTCACGTCGGGGCTGCGCAGGCAGAGGCCCAGCTGCCGCTTGCTCAGGCCCGACAGCGTCAAGCATACAGTGTTGGCGGTCAGCGGCGGCTCGCCGGGCAGCTTCAGGCCCAGAATCTCATTGCTGAGGGCCCTGGGAACGCAGAAGGCGTTGCGGGGTCTGTGGTCCAGGCCTCGCGCCCCCTCCGACTCCTCCCGTGCTGGGTCGGTGCTTTCAGCCTAGGGCTTTCTCTCGTGGGCTGGGTGACAGGGGGGAGCTGCTCACCGACTGCACAACGCCAGGAACAGGAGACCCGCGAAGCCCGAGGGCGGAGGCCGCGGCCGGGGCTCCTCCCGCATGTCGAAGCCCGGGCCCTAAGGCCCCGGTGGGCAGATCGATCAGGGCCTGCGGGACAGGGAGACTTGGGGGCTTCGGAATAGGGTGGGCTGCCCCCCCCCAGCAACCAAGGATTCCTAACTCACCAGTGCCACCCCAGTGACCCTTGTCATCCCTCCCCAAGCAAAACAATAAGAATCACCCCTGTCCCTGGACCCTGGAGGAAGAGTCTGGGCACCGCAGCAGGGGCTTATGCAAGAGCCCCTGGAGCTAGACCCAGACAGACACAACGCCTGGCACACAGACACACTCACGTGCAAACTCAGACATACTGACTCACAAACACCACTCCACCATCTTGCCCCCCGCTCCCTCTTTGAGGGCCCCACGACTGGCTTCCCTCGTCCACCAGAGCCTGGCTCTCAGGGCTAGGGGGCGGGATTGGAAGAGGGTTCTGCACCACCTACAGACGGCGGGGTGTGGGGGAGGGTCACCTTCAGGTGCTGTCGAGGGCAGGCAGCCTCCGTGAGAGACCTGGAGGAATGGGCCCCCAACCCGGCTCTACCCACTTTTTCCGCAGTTGGGAGAGAGGGGAGGCTCCAGGTGCACCAGACAGGGAGGGGACCTGGTTCCCGCCTGAAGAGGACGGCGGCACAGGTTGAGTCCTCTTCCTCCTCTGCCACCTTTCCTAACTAGTGTTCCCCTCATCTGCAATGCCCGTCTGGTCCCCTCGGGTCCCAGACTCATTCCCCAACCCTTTGCTCTCACGTTCATTGCCCTTCTGATCTGGGAATACTCCTTTATTTGCTGTCTTTATCTCTGCCAATATCCCTGGCTCTCTCTCTGTCTCCGTGCCCCAGTGGGCGGATGCGTGTCTGTCTGTCTGACTACCCGTGTGCCTCTCTCAGCCCCGTGTGCGCGTCCCTGCTCTCCCTGCTTTCCCGGTTCCGATTACCTCCAGCTGCTCTGGTGCGGGGTCGCCACCGGCAGGATTGGGTCGCCTGGGCTCGGGCTTCTCAAACCGCGGGGAGACTGCGTCGGGTTCTGCCCCCTCGGCAGAGCCGCATTCTTCCAGGGCAGGGCCACTCCTCTTCGCTGCTTCCCCAGCGCCGCCACAGCCGCCGGGAGGAAGGGAGGGAGGAAGGGAGGGAGTGATCGAGAAAGCTAGCAAGTGGTCTAGCAAAGAACTGGGGGCTCCGGCTCTACTCTACTCACGCCGAGCTCACAAGCGGCTCTGCTGCGGCTGACAGAGCTGCGGCCCCTCCCCGAGCCCCGGGCATCCCCACCCCACTCCTCACACCCCCCGCCTTGACCCGGGGAGCGCAGGCGCTCCCCCTCCTCCCAGCCTACACACACACACCCTCTCCCCCGACGCCTGGGTTCACGCTTGGCCCCACTGAAGGGGGTGGTGACCAGAGTGCCCCTCACCTGCTCTGGGTAGCGAAGTCTGCAAGGAGGGTGCCGTGACCCAGACTAGGGAGACAGGACCCTGGTCCCACGTGGTCATTGCTCTTTGCCTCAGTTTCCCCACCGAGAGCTGGGTGGCTGGAGAGTGCCTTTGACAAGATGAACACGGAGCTGAGATTCAACTTCCCTCCCTGGACAATGTTGTGTAGAGCCCTCAGCGAGAGCGCGCCGCAGGGCACTCAGAGCCAGCAGGAAAAGCTCCCTTCTGGGTAGCTTGGCTTCCACCCACCTCTGAGCTCTGCGCCTGCCCCTTGGGAGGGGTCAGACTTGGCCTCAGAGCTTGGTCCTAGCAGAGGCTCGGGTAGCCCCAAAGATCTCCAGCCTTCTCCTATGCTTCCCTTGGCTTATAGGCATCCTTGGCCACAGAGTTCTCCTGCCCATCCCGGGATCCCGGGTCTGCACTTCGAGTGGCCCATATTCTTGCTCCAGGCTTTCAGACCTAGCTAGCCAGGGAAAGAGCCTGAATCTTGGGGTGCACAGACCAGAGCAAACCACCTTACGGAGCTCCAGTGGCAGTGAAGGGGTTAGGCGCCACTGCGCTCCTGCCTGACTCACCCTCCCAGCTCTAACCACTGCGGGCTATTTTTGCCAGAGAGGGGCCCCAGGCTTCCCAGCCGCTCCCCCCGCCCCTGCCAGACCGCAGCCCAAGGCACGACTGGCCCCGCGCACCCGAGGCTGGCACGTTGACTCAGAGACAGGCCCCCTGGGGAAGCAGAGCCACGGGGCCCGAAACCCACAGCCACAGTCATCTCTTCCTTGGTGGTGGCCCTGCAGCTCTTCTGGGCAGTCAGCCTCCAGTCTGTGCTGCTGCAGGGCCTGCCCTGTGCTGTAGGGGGCGCTGCTGTCTGGGGGGCAGAGCAGTCTGAGAGAGATCAGTGACTTTTCATCCGCTGGCATATGATTTACTAACCACCTTTATGTGCCAGGTCTGGAGCAGGCTGGGGAGGTAAAAGTGTCATGGTTCCCGACACTGGACAGCTCTGACCAGAGAGGGTTGCTTTTCTTTGCTTTCTCACCTCTGGGGGTGGGGGAGGAAGAGAAATAGCCCTAGAACTCCTGCCTCTCCTTCCTGTTTAGACGCCAAGACCCAAACCATGTGTGGCTTTTGAGGCCACTGGGATCTGTAAGCCATATCTCAGTAGCTTTCATCCTTTCACCTGGATTCAGTGACCCTGGCCAGCATCCTTGTCCTTCCTGCACGTCAGCCTGGGACTCCACCCAGGTCCCTGGAGGAAGGGGATGAGGTTTCCTATGCCTCTCTTCTCCCATGGGCATTTGTATTTCTCCATGGGTCTCTGGACCTCCCTCAGGTTTCCGATCGTTACTTCTGATTCTACCCTTGTCAGGCTGTAGAACAGTCAGGTGCCAAGGAAGGGCCAAGGTCAGAACTATTACCATAGACTCCAACTTCTCAGTGACTCCAAGGCTCCCCACGCTGGTCTATCCCAAATCCAAGGACCCACACTCCTGTTCTCTCTCCATGCAGAAGCCCAGCTCTGGGACAGGAGGCCACAGGCAGGCAGACTGGGTGGCCTGAACTGGCCCCCAGTGCCCTTGGCCCGACCGGCTGGCCTGAGCACTGACCCGCAGGCGGCTGGAGGGTGGTGGAGCAGGCGGGGTCTGGAGAGGGCTGTGGGTACACACCCATTGCCTAATACCCCAAGCACGCGGCCAGCTCCAGGAAAGGGGAGGGGCGGGAACCAGAGAGACCTTGACAGGGGTTGGGGCCATGACAGGAGGGGGAAAGTGAGGGGCTGTCATTACTTTGGGGAGAGAGTCGGAACAAGCTGGTCCCCCTTCCCCTCGATGAGAAGACTGGAGGGCTGCCTTCCCATCATGGGGATGGAGGGTGTAGCAAGAACAATCTGGGAAGATCACTGGGGCCCTGGAGGGCGGGGGTCAAAGAAAAGAGTGGGGGCCCCCCCGGGAGATTGGGGGATCGAGCAACTGAGGCGGTGGCTAAAGCAGAGCAAAGCCTCGGGAACCTCCTCCTCCTCCTCCCCTCATGTTTGCCTTGGCCCGGGGTCCCGGGTGACTCATCTATTGCTGAGCCGCTGATAGGGGCGGCCAAGCTCGGGGAACCCAAATTATAGGCCCAGGAGGGATGGATGCGCCCTCGGCGGTGAGCTCAGCTGTGCTGCCCACCCTCCGCCTCTCACGCCTTCTTCTGCAGCACCGTAGGCCACCACCCGGAGGCACCAAAGGGTCTGCAGCCCAGCTGCATTGGACTCCTGGGGAAACCCCCAACACTTGAGCAGTTAGCCCCAACAAATGTGTGGGATTACCATAGACAACTTTGCCCCCTTCTCTACCAGAGGCTGATGGCTTCCCAGCACGAGGAGGCAGTGCCGCCTGCTGGTGCTTCAAAGGAAGGTAGGCTCCTCTGCCCACAAACTCTCAGCCCTGGTCCCCTGCCTCCTCCCCACACCCCAGCAACAAGGGAAGGCCCCTTTCCCCTCCGCCATCTCTCTCCTGTGCCTATTCCAGAGAGGTGGTTTGCTACTGATTTTCTACTTCAAGCCTTTAAAGTTATCCGTGGTCAAAGGTGATAGAAAAATATAGCAAGGTAAAGGAGATAGGTAGCAGGATTCCATTTTATATAGGGGGATGAAAAAGAAAGTGAGCGAACAAGCCCATGGAGATATCTGAGGAAGGACATTCCAGAACACAGAAAAGCAGGTGCAAGGGTCCCGAGACAAGAATTTGCTTGGTATGTTCAGGGAATCAGCAAGTAGGCCAGTGTGACCAAAGGGAGGAACCCACAGGGGAGAGGGTGAAGTTAGACAGTGAAGTTAGAGGACGAGGATGAGGAAGGAGCAGGGTCAGATCATATAGGGCCATGTAGGCCACTGTAAAGATTTCACCTTTTTCCTTGAGTGAGATGGGGAATCCTTGGAAAATTCTGAGCAGAGGAATGAAATGATCTGCCTTCGGTTTTAGAAAGCATGGCTCTGGCTGCTGGGTGGAGAAGAGACTGTGGGGGGCAAAGGTAGGAGTGGGGAGAGCTACCAGGAGGCTAGTGCAGTAATCCAAGAGAGAGGAGGTGGTGGCTCTGACCAATGATGTAGCAGCGGTGGGGTAAGAATGGGTCCGAGTCTGCAAATATTTTAAAGACAGAAGGACAGGATTAGTTGATGGGCTTGATACGGAGTACAAGAGAACAGATGGATCAAGGACAACCCTAAAACTCTTGTCGTGAGCAACTGAAAGGATGGAGGTGCCGCTTCCGGAGATGGGGCGACCAAAGAAAGAGCAGGTTCGGAGGGGGAAGAATCATGCGTTCGAGTTTTGAACAGGTACATTTTGAGAAGCTTATTCAAGTGTTAGATGTGCAAGTGCAGAGTCCAGGGCCAGAGGTATAAATTAGGGAACATGAGACTGGATGGTTCACCAAGAGAGTGAGTGTAGACTGAGAAGAAAGTCCAGCTTGAATTGGGGCACACTCTGAAGCTTAGAAATTGGTACACAGGGTGGAACCTGATAAGAAGCCTGAGAAGGTGAGCAGCTAGTGAGGTAGGAATGGTGTTCTAGAACCCAAGTGAGGAAGTATTTCAAGAAGGAGAAAGCGTTCCTTGGAGGTTAATTAGGATGAGAACCAAGAATTAACCATAGAGCAACCAAGAGGTCATGGATGATTTTGATAAGGAGGTGTAGCAGGTTCAAAGATGTGATCAGGATGGAAAGAGAGAATAAAGAAAAGAAATTAGTGCTAGTGATTAAAACAATCCTTTTGAGCTTTGCTGTAAAAGAGAGCAGAGAAACGCGGCAATCTTGGGAGGTAATGTGGAGTCAAATGAAGCTTTGGCAGTTTTAGATGGGAAATATTACAGCATTTTGCATATGGATGGGTATGATCCGGTACAGAGGTAAACTGAAGATGCAGGAAAGAAACAGAGGACAACAGACAGAGTGATGATTTTTTTTAAAGATTTTATTTATTTATTTGACAGAGAGACAGACAGGGAGACAGAGAGAGAGAACAAGCCGGGGGGGTGGGGGGGAGGAGCAGAGCCACAAGCGGACTCCCTGCTGAGCAGGGAGCCCAACCTGGGACTCCATCCCAGGACCCTGAGACCATGACCTGAGCCAAAGGCAGACACCCAACAGACTGAGCCACCCAGGCGCCCCCAGAGTGATGATTTGATCTAAATAGAAATTTGGGCCAGGGCACGCACAGTGTGACCCAGAATTAGAGACCTCCCCTCCCGCTCTTCCCCACTAGTCCTGGTGGGTGGAATGGTGGAACAGAGGATACTCGCTCCTTCTTTTCTTTCTTTCCACCTCTGCTTGTCACCAATGGCCACAGACAGGGCTTCCTGTCTTCCAGTGCATCTCCGGCCTGCATGGGGTTTTATCCATCCATAGGCCAAAAGACATGACCCAGACAAGCTGCCCATAATTGTCTATTTACTTGAGCCATCTCTACTGGGTGCCCTCTGGAGAGATTACTGGCTTTTGGACCTGGGGAGGATGCTGGGCCAGTACACATTGTCCCTCGGGGTCAAAGCCTTGGAGGGACCAGGTACAGTGGATGGGGCAATAGGCCTGGGAAGGATGTCGCCCTCAAAAATAACCACCCTCAGGCTTCATTTGGGTTAATCAGCATCTCACTTAAAATGGAAGTGCTCCAGGAAGATTACTTAAACTCATCAGACATGTACTCCTTAGAGTGATTTCCCCACCTTGAAGGGGATACCTGGTTATTTCTGAGACTTGGAACTCTTCAAGATCAAACCTGGGTACATACTCAGTTAGAAAGTACCCTGAAGGGCACCTGGGTGGCTCAGTTGGTTAAGCGACTGCCTTCGGCTCAGGTCATGATCCTGGAGTCCCTGGATCGAGTCCCGCATCAGGCTCCCTGCTCGGCAGGGAGTCTGCTTCTCCCTCTGGCCCTCCCGACCCTCCCCCCTCTCATGTGCTCTCTCTCTCAGTCTCTCTCTCTCAAATAAATAAATAAATAAAATCTTTAGAAAAAAAAAGAAAAAAGAAAGTACCCTGAAGGTGGGGGAGATGAAAAAGAGAAGATCCAAAAGGGAGACAGAAAGATCCTAAAGATCAATTTTATTTATCTGTCAGTTTTGAGATGGGCCCATTGCTACACACTCAAACAGCTCGTAAGGTGGAAAGAACATGGGTTTTGAGTCAAAACGATCTGAGTTTTAATCTGGCTCTACCGTTTATTCATTTTTTAAAAAAAGATTATTTATTTATTTTAGAGAGAGAGTGCGCGCTCAGGGAGAGAGGCACAGGGAGAGGGAGAAGGCGAGAAGGAGAAGCAGACTCCCCACTGCACATGGAGCCGACACAGGGCTCCATCTCAGGACCCTGAGATCATGACCTGAGCTGAAACCAAGAGTCCGATGTTTAACCGACTGAGCCACCCAAGCACCCCCCCCCATTTATTCATTTTCTAAAGATTTTACTTTTAAGTAATGTCTACACCCAACGTGGGGCTCCGACTTCGAATCCCAAAATCAAGAGTCACATGCTCCACTGGTTGAGCCAGCCAAGGGCCCCCATTTATTAGCTGTGTGGACCTTGGACAACTTCTTAATCTCCTTTTTCCTCTGTGAAGTGAGAGAGAGGAGAGACTTGAAGGAGGAGATCTTCCCTCCTTCCAGGGGCCATCTGTGTGTGCTGGGAGGGCACGATAAGCAGGCTGGCAGTGCTCCCTATGCCCCATAGAGGGAACAGCAGCTACATCCTCAATAGGAGGCCAAGGGTAGCCTTGAAGCTGAGTTGGAGTCCCTGGGAGAAAACAGAAAAGTGTACAATGGAGGAGATGCTTGCAAGCATTTGGGTATCTCGATGTGGTAAGAGTAGAAAGAGCCAGCTTTGGAGGAAGACAGAAACTAGACAGAAAAATCCAAAAAGAAGCAGACGCGTGGAGGCACAAGTTCTCTATTCTGGGGTCAGTTCAGCAAGCAGCTCTTCTCTTCCCAGCCCTCCCTCCTGCACCCATACACACGCCTGCCATCTACTCCACTGCCCTTCCTGAGCCTAATCCTCAGAGACTCAGCCACTCCAGGCCTTGTCCATCTTGATGCTGCCTAGGTTGCCGGCTCAGGCCCCTCCCCTAGTGACGTGCACAGGTTGACACATGCCACGGGGTGACACACCATAGGATGACACAAGGTATACATGGCGAGTGTGACACATATATGCATATTTAATCTCCCCACGCACACATACTCATCCACCCATCCACCCACCTCCACACACGGTTCCAGACACTCCATCTCTCAGTCAATCATCTGGGTCTTTCCCAACGGTAGCTACCACCTCCTTCCCCACACATAGATGATGCACTGTCCCAGGTGGTGGCTGGGACAAGATTACTCGATTGATCCCTTCTGACCTGAGCTAAATTCCAAGATTCTTTGGAAAGGTTTCTAACATCCCTCCTCCAAACACGGAGTTTCCCTACATGAGGACACACATGGGTGTACACCCTCAGGACACACTCACACATTCGCATATGCATTCGCATTTGCATTGTCCCGCTTATACACACACACACACACACACACACACACACACACGCAGTCACTTGTGCACGCCTTCCAGCCCACAAACACAAACTGCCGCTGTCCCTGGTTGGTTTCTCTCCACAGACAGGCTCTGTTTGGTGAACTCACCCCCCACCCCCGGGATTTCACGACCCCACCCGCACCCTCAGACTCCCGCTTACCCTTCCCTGTCCAGCCGTCGGGGGCGGGGCGGAGTTTCCTGGGAAGGAGGCGTCTCCCCGGAGTCGCCGCCCAGAACGACAGCTTTCCTTGCCTTCCTCTACTCAGGAGTGGGGAGAGAGGGGACGCCAGCGGAGGCCCGGGCTGACGTCGAGGGGACAGCCCCACGGCCGGTGGTGGCGAGGCGGCGGGGCTCCTGGCCGGCTCTCCCCGTAGCACACTATCGCCGCGCCCCCTGGCGGACGCTGGTCCCCGACGGGCTCCGGACGCGAGGAGGAGTGAGGCGGGCGCGCGTGGGAGGGCGTCCCAAGGGGAGGGGTCGGCGGCCAGTGCAGGCCCGGAGGCGGGAGCCACCGGGCAGGGGGCGGGGGTGAGCCCCGACGGCCCTCCCGTCAGCGCTCGCCTCAGACGGGCGGGAGCCACGGCCCCGCTCGCTGCCCATTGTCTGCGCCCCTGACCGGTGCGCCCTGGTGCCACAGTGCGGCCCGGCGGGGCAGCCTCCTATCGTCACTTCAGCCAGCGCCGCAACTATAAGAGGCGGTGCCGCCCGCCGTGGCTGCCTCAGCCCACCAGCTGGGACCGCGAGCCATGCTGCCCGCCGCCCGCCCCCAGGGCTGTTAGAGCCAGACTGCGAACTCTCGCCACTGCCTCCACCGCCGCGTCCCGTCCCACCGTCGCGGGCAGCAGCCAAAGCCGCCCCGACTTCAGCACAGAGCAGGCGAGGCCGGGCAGGCCATGGGGCACTGGGCGCTGCTGCCCGGCTGGGTTTCTGCTACGCTCTTGCTGGCGCTGGCCGCCCTGCCCGCAGCCCTGGCCGCCAACAGCAGTGGCCGATGGTGGTAAGTGAGCTGGTGCGGGGTCGCCACTGGTCCCGGGGCGCAGAGCCAGGGGCCAGCCCCAGCCAGCTCCCACGCTCTGGGATCCGTCCGCTCCCTCCACCGCACTGACTTGCTGCGAGACACCGAGGGGCGCTCTGGAGCGCAGCTGCTCCAGAGAATCTAGTTCGGATGAGGTGGGGTGAATGGTCCGCCCGCGGCGGCCCACGATACTCCAGGCAGGGAGCCCATTCCCATCTAGCACCGCCCTTCGCCCGTGAGCCCCAAACCCAGCCTCACGGTGGTAGCCACACCACAGGTTTCCCTGCCTCGGCAAGCGAAGGGCCAGGCTGGCGCTCAGAAAGGAGGCAAGAAGAGGGTGGGACTCCTATGCATTTCACGCCTTGGGTGGGCATGGACTCCAGGCCAGAGCCGCCCGGAAGCAGCCTCTCAGAGCCAAGGTGGACATCTGGTCTTCAGGTTTCCCATGCCTCCCCTGTCCAGTCCCCAGACCCAGGGCCCCGAGTGGCCCTGCACAAAACTCTGGACGCCCATTCCTTTCAAACTACTGAGCCAGGGAGCCCGGAGTCTTTACCTCATTACTGATCTCCTGCGGCTCTCTCAGGCAAATAGCCCCAGGAAGAGGGCGGGATAGACACGACCTTTTTGCTTAGGGTGCAGGTCCCCATTCCAGAGCTTGAGCTCCTATCATGCATCTCACCAGGGGCATCGTGAACGTAGCCTCCTCCACGAACCTGCTGACCGACTCCAAGAGTCTACAACTGGTGCTCGAGCCCAGTCTTCAGCTGCTGAGCCGCAAACAGCGGAGGCTGATCCGCCAGAACCCGGGGATCCTGCACAGCGTGAGCGGGGGGCTGCAGAGCGCGGTGCGAGAGTGCAAGTGGCAGTTCCGCAACCGCCGCTGGAACTGTCCCACGGCTTCGGGGCCCCACCTCTTCGGCAAGATCGTCAACCGAGGTGGGTACCCAGGAAAGCGACGTTTCCGGGACCAGGGGAACGCAGGGTCACCCGCAGGGCAGGGGCGGGCGAGCGCAGGGAAAATGTCCCCGGCGCCCGCAGGGTTACACGATCAACCCGCCAAGAGCTTCACGCCCAGCGCCAGCTCTGGGCCAGACTCGTTCTACCAGGCGTTTTCAAGCCGTGCACCTTGGGCGCAGAGCTTAGCTTTTCTGCGCCACTGCCCGGGCAAAAGCGAGTCCTAAGTCGTGGACGCTGGCTGGCCACCGCTTTCCCGGCCCCTCTCAAAGGCGCCCGGGCAGCGGATCTCTGCGAGAGTGTCTCGCCTCCAAGCCCAGCAAGGCTCCCATCGCCGACACACGGGCCGAAAGTTTGGGCTGCGGAGAGATTTTGACAGTGTAGAGTTCTTCCGCTCCCCTCTTTTCGGTTTATCTCTCTGGAGCTGCCCCACTTCCACTGAGGAGCCAAGTGCGCCCTGAGTCTCGGGAGCGCGTGATTACAAGCGTGGACAGGGCTGCGTGCCCACGCACGTGCTTTCTCTAGGAGACCAGCTTCCCAGCACAGCCGGCCGCCTGGCTCCCAGGACTCCAAGGGCGCAGTCGGGGCACCGGACTCAAGGGTCCCGAACCCTCCACAGAGGAGGCTGGCCGCACCCCCGCGTTACCTCCTCGCTCATCGTTAGCTCCCTTCCCTCACAGGCTGTCGAGAAACGGCATTTATCTTCGCCATCACCTCCGCCGGGGTTACGCATTCAGTGGCACGCTCCTGCTCAGAGGGCTCCATCGAGTCCTGCACGTGCGACTACAGGCGGCGGGGGCCTGGGGGCCCCGATTGGCACTGGGGGGGCTGCAGCGACAACATCGACTTCGGCCGCCTCTTCGGCAGGGAGTTTGTGGACTCCGGGGAGAAGGGGCGGGACCTGCGCTTCCTCATGAACCTCCACAACAACGAGGCGGGCCGCACGGTGAGCGCGCTTCAGGGGCTCTGCCTGCAAGCGGAGTGGCAGGGATCTCCGAGGCCCCGAGCAGGGGCTGACCTCGAATCTGGGCAGTAACAGACGGTGATAAGGCCAGGCGTCGGGGCAGGGAACCAGGAGAGGACGTCCAGAGGGTGCTGGGGGTTTGGAAGGGAAGGCAGAGAATGGAAGAGAGTGGCGGAGGGCAGGGAGAACTGGAGAGGTTAGGAGTCAGGCAACCCGTGGAATGTATCGCCTACAGCCCCTCCGTTGTAATCACTGAAAAGAAACGAGGCTTGGAGGCCGGGGCCACTGTCCGGCGTGGAGGAGAGTCGGGCCCGGTGTCCAGATCTCTGCGCGACATTTCGCGCCTCCCTTCCCCTTCCTCCCTTCCGCCTTCGCGGAGGTCCTGGCAGGGTCCGGGAGGAGGCGGTATCTGGGATGGTGGCTCTGGCTGTGACCACCCTGGGACACCCTTTCTTCCCTCCCCCCCCCCCCCCGCTTCCTCCCAGACCGTGTTCTCCGAGATGCGCCAGGAGTGCAAGTGCCACGGGATGTCGGGCTCGTGCACGGTGCGCACGTGCTGGATGCGGCTGCCCACGCTGCGCGCCGTGGGCGACGTGCTGCGCGACCGATTCGACGGCGCCTCGCGCGTCCTCTACGGCAACCGCGGCAGCAACCGCGCCTCGCGGGCAGAACTGCTGCGCCTGGAGCCCGAAGACCCCGCGCACAAGCCGCCCTCCCCCCACGACCTGGTCTACTTTGAGAAATCGCCCAATTTCTGCACGTACAGCGGACGCTTGGGGACGGCCGGCACGGCGGGGCGCGCCTGCAACAGCTCGTCGCCCGCGCTGGACGGCTGCGAGCTGCTCTGCTGTGGCCGCGGCCACCGCACGCGCACACAGCGCGTCACCGAGCGCTGCAACTGCACCTTCCACTGGTGCTGCCACGTCAGCTGCCGCAACTGCACGCACACGCGCGTACTGCACGAGTGTCTGTGAAAGCCCGCGCGCGCTCGCGCCCGGGAGCGCGCTCCTCTCGCGCACCTCCAAACAGTGCCGCACACGCCCCCACCCGGCCCCTCCAGCCACGCTCGGCGGGATTCCTGCGTCCGCCATCATTTCTCCCACCTCCTCCTGCCTGCGGACTCCTGAAACCACTTGCCTGGGCCGGCACGAACCCTCTTGCCATCCTGACGGACCTGCCCCGGACCTACCTCCCTCCCTGTCCCGGGAGACCCCTTGTTGCACTGCCCCCTGCTTGGCCCCGAGGTGAGAGAAGGATTCGTTCCCTCCCCCGTGGGGGTCAGCTGCTGACCGTGTGGCTCGGCCTCCTCCACCGCGCCGGTGACCTCCTTGCCTCTCTCCCTCGCCTTTATCCTCAGTTTTTCTCCAGGTCCGCTCGTGCCCTTCCCATTCTCCTGCCAAGGGCTCAGACCCTGAACACACACCTGGGCATCGGGGCCTTTCTCCTCCCCACCTGCAGCCGAACCAGGAGGTGCCAGGGTGAAAGGGCAGCTGTGGTGATGTGGAAAATGAGGTTGGGGGACCCAGCCGAAATACCCCCATTCTCCCAGCCTCTGTCATGGAGCCACTGAACAGCTGTGAGCCATGCCTCCCTCGGGCACCTCCTACCCCTTCCTGTCCTGCCTCCTCATCAGTGTGTAAATAATTTGCACTGAATCGTGGATACAAAGCCACGAGTTTGGTTGTTGTAAATAAAACTATTTATTGTGCTGGGTTCCAGCCTGGCTTGCAGAGACCACTTCCACCCCACCCCACCCCACTCCTCTCCCTTCTTCTCTCCTTTTGCTCTCCAGCCTTTTTTGCTCCCTCTTCTCCTCTCCAATTTCTCAAGGATGCTGTTGCCTACCGGAATCAGTATTTCCTTGCATTGTAGCTATTAGTGGCTCCTTGCCCCCACCAATGTAGTATCTTCCTCTGCAGAATAAAATCTCTATTTTTATCGATGACTTGGTGGCTTTTCCTTGAACCCAGAACACACCATTGCTTACTTCTCTTAAACAAATAGGATATGTTGTTGGGGGACTGGTGTCCTGGCCCTGCAAGAGGACCCTAAGGTTCTGACCCTTGGATGACCTTAATGAGGCCACTGGGGATCCAGGTCTCCAAAAGAACCTAGTCAGGAGCCAAGAGACCCTGCAGGATTCTTCTTCCTATTCGAACACCAACTGGCTGTGTGATATCGGGCAAGTCCAAACTGCCTCAGTTTCATCCCTTGCTAAATGGGGATTAAACAAACAGACAAACAAGCTCTGAGCCTGCCTTTCCCATCTGGAGTTGTGAAAATAGCCACAACTGAGTGATAGCCATGACCGTGTTGTGAGAAGAAACCAAAGAAGAAAGAGAAATCCAAGCAGAAAAGGTGTTGCTGTAGAGCTTTTGGTCCCTGAAGCCTATTTGCTTCACCTGTGGTCAGGGCATGGGGCGGTGGGGAAGGCACGTCCCTCCCCAAGACAAGGAAACACCTTATTAGGACTCCAGCTCCCAAACCTGGGCTCGGGAGGATCTAGGTAACATGATGGGTTCTAGTCCTGGACCCAAAATCTCAGGGATGATGGTTGGGGAGCAGAAGGGAGCTGGAGGGCCGGAAACCAAACAGAGGCTAGGGCTTAAACTGATGTAACCAAACAGAGGCTAGGGCTTAAACTGATGTAACCAAAAGGAAACCCAAGTATGGTCCATAACCGAACCATTAAGTTAGCCATTCCCATAAAGAGCCTGAAAGAGGACTGTTACTAATAACACAGATACTTCCAATGCGCACATTCATCGGAGTGGGCAGGAGTACTAATCCTGCCCACACCCTAAACCTATCTCTAACCCTAATCCTCTCCCCATCCCTAGGTCTAGGTCTAACCTTAGCCTTAACCCTAACTTCAGACAAACACTAACCCCTTCCTAAGCTCTAATGCCTATCCCTAATCCTAACACTTTCCCCCAGGGGAGGACCTAAAAGGCAGGGGGAGCTATGAAGCACCCCACCCCCTAAGGGCAACAACTGATCCCAGACGACTGGAGAATTTCCCACTCTCCCCAGGACTCTTTTACTGTTGTTGCTGCCTCCCACCTCTCCCTGGATATGTGAACTCTGACCCCTGTTGGCCTTTGGGGTATGTGTGGGGGTAGGGGAGTGGAGCCAGGAGCTGCTCAACCCTGCAACGGACATCCCTTTCCCTTTCTCTCCATCTGCCAAGCCAGCACCAGCTCAGCTCTGATGGGCAGTGGAGGGAGAGGAATAGAAAACTTATTGATCCAGAGTAGAAGACACCTCATAAGCCTTGGGTTTCCAGTAAAGAACCCCCTGCAGAGAATATCCAGTCTATAATTCAATGAATTATTAGATCCCCAGCTACCAAAGCAAGAAACTAATGGGCTGCCAGAGGCCGGAAAGGGGCCTTGGCCCCTGCTGGACAATGCCCAGAGTTGGGGAGAAGCAGCGGCTGGGGAGCTGAGGGGTTGGCCGTTGTCCCCGACCACTCTCACCTGACTCCTAAATCCAAGAGCTGGAACTGGTATCAGTTTTCAGGCCCAGAAGCTGGGGCCTCTGAGTCGAACTGACACATAGGAGCTGGAGGAAGGGTAAAGGGGAGCAATGAATCCTGTTCTGGTCCTAATTAGACTTTTACCAAATCTGTTGTTTTCTCAACCTCAGTTACCTTGTCTATTAAACAGGGATGGTTGTCAGTACCGAATCTTCTCCTTCCGGAAAGTGAGGAGGTTCAGATGAGATCACGTTTATGAAAACTAGGGTCATTTGAACATTTGCCGACATGTCTTCTGCACCAGGCATATGCCAGACGCTGGGGTACAGGGCTGTATGAGCTAGTGCCCACTTGGAGGAGCTTATGGTGTGGCCAGGGAATCAAGCACATCGACACATACTGTCAGAGTAATAGGGGAGCGAAGTGAAGGCTCAGTGAAGTGTAAAGCTGTCTGCACACCCATGAGGTTTAAGCCCGCTGCATGGAGGCCCTTCACTTCCAGGGGCTGGGACTTCACAGTGGGTAGGGAAGTGCAGAATAAGGCTGGGCCCTTGAGGGGCCATGCACTAAGAAAAACGGGGGGGACAAGCAAACGGAGATAGGATCTACAAAGCATTACGTAGAAGCTAATTTTTTTTAAAGTTTGTTTGTTTATTTATTTATTTATTTATTTATTTATCTATTTAAGAGAGAGAGCATGAGCAGGGAGGAGGGGTAAAGGGAGAGAGAGAAGCAGGCTTCCTGCTGAGCAGGGAGCCCAACACCGGCTCTATCCCAGGACCCTGGGATCCTGACCTGAGCCAAAGGCAGACGCTTAACTGACTGAGCCACCCGGGTGCCCCCGAAGCTAATCCTTTTGATGTTCTGATCACCTGGGCCATCGTCACGGAGGGCTGGGCCTAGGGAGGTCGCCATAGGACAGCGCTGGCAGGAATGGACCCGACGCCCCGGCTCTGCCCCATCCGCCCAGGTTATCCTTCCACCCACCTCCGAGCTTCAGGTGCCGGGTGCCACACAGCCAGGGGGACCTGAGGCTGTCAGGGACCCCGGACACACGGGTGGCCTCAGCGAGCGAGGGAGGCGCTAGTCCTGAAATATCCTGGGGGGAGCGGAAAAGCTGAGAGGACCAAGAGGGCAGACCTGCACAATCCCCAGGGGGGCAGCGAGCTGGCACCACACACAGCCTGCCACACGCACCCTGGAAAAACCCTGTCAGTGGGGCTGCAAATACCCCAGGGTCTAGGCACCCCCCCCCCCAGGCTGGCTCAGTCCTCCTCTCCAGGCCAGAGGGAGAAAAATAACAAAATGAGAAAATAAGCTGTTTGGCTGTGGTGTGAGCAGGAATATCCATACAGAGCTGCCCACCACTCACCCTTACTCACTCTTTCCACACCCAGCCGGGGCGCCCAGCATGAGACAGACCACCCCCCTGCCCCCTCCCCCGTCTGGGCTAAAAGCAGACGCTGGTGAGCGAGCAGCAGGTTATAAATATGCCCGGGGAACTGCCGCCAACTCGCTCCCTTGTCATTCCCCGGGAGGGGATAGGGTGCGGTGGCTCCTAGGGAGGGGCCAGGGCTGCCCTGCTCCTGGGGCCCAGGAGGAAGTGGGGCTTCCGAGAGGCTACTGCACTTTTTTTTTTTTTTTTTTTTTTTGCCCTTTTCAAAGGGAAGGAACCACCACCACTTCATTTCTCCTGGACACTGGCTCATCTGCTCAGAGGTGGGGTTCCATCCCTCCCTCCCCTGCCGGCCTCGGCGGGGACCTCAGAAGGAGAGGGCCCAACGCCAGCCTGGGTCACAGTGCAGCTCAGCACCACTTCTTTCTCACACTCGCTTACTCTCAGCAAAGCCGAGGTCCATTCAACGGGCATTTGCTGGGCCTGCTGAGCCCCAGGCCGCGTGCCCAAGCACACCTACGCACACAAGCGTGTGCACGCGTACGTGCGTGCACTCACAGCAGGCCCGACTCCCTCCCATGTGCTCACATCAGCGCCGGCCCTCCCTAGGGACTGCTGGGCTTGAACTTGGCAGGCTCACCAGGAAGGGTAAAGCTCTAGGCTCCTGGTTCTGCCTCAGAGCAGGTTGGCGGAGGTGGGGGATGTTGAGAACCAGGGCCCTCAAACATTTCTGCTCCCACTAGTCCCCCGATAAATGACGGGTCCTTCTTCTCCTCGCTGCCCAGTCATCTCCCAACGCGGGCACCATGCCAGGAAGAAAGAGCCACTCTGTGGGATCCTGGGGGGCACCTGTCCAGGCTGCCAGAGCCTCCTGCTTCCCAGCCACTTGCCAAGTAGGTGCCAAGCTGGGCAAAAGGGGGCAGTGCCACCCTGGGAAGCTTCCAGCTCTCCTCCCCCAAGGCTGAACCCCTCCCCTCTCCCTCCTCCCTATTAATCCTCGGAAGTGAAGGGGCCGTCCCTGGCGGCCCCTCGGCCCTATTGTGGCCCCTCGCCCTCCTCGGCTGGCGTCTAATTAACTCCTCCTGCCCCCGGTTTTGTGTGCCCCCCTTACCCCACCTTGTCGGCCCCGCCCCTCCGCTCGGCCTGCTCCCCCCCACGGACATTCCAGCCCGGCCGGGCTGGTGTGCCAGGGCAACCAGGGCCGGACCGAGGCCTAATCCTCCCGCCGCCTGGCCGGGCTGGGGGAGCCCCACTCACCTCCCCGCTCTCTGGGGGCTGCCCGGCTCGGCTGCGGCGGAGACACACAATCAGGACAAAGGCGCAGCCCCCAGGGGGCTAACTCAGCCTTCACGCCCAGGTTGTGCGGCATTTGGGGAGTTTAATGAATTGTCCATCACGCCTTTCAGGGCCCGCCCGTCAGCCTGGATTAATCTTCGGAGCCCTGGTGGGGTAGGAGACACTAAGCCTGTATTTATTACTCTCCCATTGTCACTAATTGAGGTAATTATCTGTGACTCTGGCCTGGCCAACAATGCCGCATTCACTCCCGGGACCTCGATGGGCCCGGCTCCCACTCTCAGCACCAACCCTCCCTCCTCTCTTCTCCCAAACCCGCCAAGGGCTAAGTTGGGCCCTAGAGCATGTTGGGAAAGTGGACAATGTCCCACAATGCTTCACCTCCCAACCAGTGTCTCCCACAGCCACCATTATGGAATTGGAGCTAGGGAGAAGCCTGGTCCCCCCAAAGTAGATGAGAAAAGGAAGGCAGCCTGTCTGGGGACAGGTTTGGCTGGCAGAGCCCCCAGGCCCTAGAGGGGCATGTTTCTGAGATTTTGGTTTTCTGGACTCTGCAACTCCTCATCTCTGGGCTGGTGACACCAGGGTCTCATAGGGCCTTTCTGTGGATCCACCTTCATGTTCCTGTAGCCTCCAGAGTTGTAGAAGATTGGGAGGCCCTAATCCATACCAGGCATACTCTCAGGAGGTCCCTAGAGCCTCCAGAGCTGGCGGCATGGCTGTGGGTATGATGGGGGAGGTTGGAAGAGAGACTAGGAAAGGGCTGGTC